ATGAAAAACAAAGAACATCTGCATTAGAAAATAGGCAAATATACGAGTATATATTCACAGTTCTGGGGCCCTCAGCATAAGAATGACATGGACCTGTTGGAGCGAGTCCAGAGGAGGCCACGAAGATGATCAGGGGGCTGAAGCACCTCCCCTGTGAGGCCAGGCTGAGAGAATTGGGGGGGTTCAGGCTGGAGAAGAGAAGGCTCTGGGGAGACCTTATAGAGGCCTTCCAGTACTGAAAGGGGGCCTACAGGAAAGATGAGGAGAGACTCTTTATCAGGGATTGTAGGAACACGACAAGGGGTAATGGCTTTAAACTGAAAGCAGGTAGATTTAGATTATACATAAGGAAGAAATTCTTCCCTGTGGGGGGGGTGAGGCGCTGGCCCAGGGTGCCCAGAGCAGCTGTGGCTGCCCCCTCCCTGGAAGGGTTCAAGGACAGGCTGTACGGGGCTGGGAGCACCCTGGGCTGGGGGAAGGGGTCCCTGCCTGGGGCAGGGGGGTTAGAACTAGATGATCTTTGAGGTCCCTTCCAACCCAAACCACTCCGTGATTCTATGAACACAAGAATCACTAGAGAGTTCTTAGAAAAATCAGCTGCCTGCAGATTCCCAGACTACCATCTAATATTGAGAAAATACCAGAAGCAGTTTGGGAGCAGAAATGAAAGATGAAAATAAACATTTTTGATCCAATGTCAATGTTTTCCAGTTACATTAGCTGGCTGCCTCTGTAATAGAAATTTCATTGTTTGTAACAAAAAAAAAAAATCAGTGATCTTCCTAGCTATTGCAGAAAATTCAATGCATCTTACAGAGGAAGTCTGCAAAAGGAGATTATTTTTTCCTCCAAGTAGGTTAACAAGAGTCTATTTACTCTTCCATAGGCTTTGCTTATCTAGCCTTCAGCTACTAAAACAAAGAAAGAATATTTGTTAAATCATTCATTTTAAAATGGCAACATATTATACTATCTAAATGTTCTATCACAGAAAAACAAGCCTTAGCTAGTCTACAAAAATTTGAACACTAAAACTGACTAAATACAGGCAAAATACTAATTTGTGCTGAGGGGTTTTTTCTCCCTCCCATTCATTGAGGAATTTTTCTCCTTAAATTTAAAGTGGGTCTCAAGCCCACAAAAAATGAAGATGATTCCTTCTCCACTGACTTTCTGTCAAAGCCACTAATCAACCAAAACATATTTTGGAAGTGTAATTTTATAAAGTTCCTGTTGCTATTCTGATCATATCAAGAACACCTGTATGACATCACCTAAAACATATAAACAGAGCAGCTGACTAGTGTAATTTATGAGGCATATTCAATAGTAATAATTATTTTTTTTACAAAAACAATTTATCATATTTCCAGTAGCATCATGCATGTTGTTGGAATTTTACTCCATTTTTTCCCCATATGCCAGAGACTCCTTCATACCATTCCAAAGATCAATTTTCCTAACAGTTTCAGCTTATTGTTGATTCAAATGTCTGCCTAGTGGTTTCTCTCCTTAGTCATCTCATTTACAGTGTTATTGTCAACCTTTTTATCATTAAATCAAAGCTCATCTTTGCTGTGAAAATGCTTTCCCTTTTCCTTTCCCTCCAAGAGGGATCTTATGGTTTCTTCCATGTTTCTCTTATGCATTACATTTCTTTACACCCATATAATGCCCCAAACTAGTCTTAATACCTTCTCTGAACACCACCTTCCAATTCCACTCCGTAACAATGCCTACAAAGGGTAGGCATCTAAATATACAATCATTTGCTTCTACTGAATAAATATTGTTGTGCTCCCTTCATACCTCACCAGTTTTTCTTTCATTTTCTTTAAACAAAAGTTCTGCAAATGCCTTCAATAAAATCTGTAGTGCCAAGAAAATACTCCCAAACCAGATTGAATGTACTAGGGGTTTTTTACTTCATTGATATAACTGCAGTGATAATTCCACCCTGGTTACTGGTCAGGGGCTTTACTATAAATAGCAAAACAGACAGTTGTAACACTGCCAGGAATTAGATGATACATTCAAAGCTAAATCAGTATATCTCTGCAAAGCAGTGAATTGCATTGTGCTGACATATCTTCAGTTATATTTTGTGCAGTACTTCAGAAGGTGAAGTATTTATCTCTAGAACAAAAATGAACAGAAAAATCCATTTCATTACTCTTTACTGCAAACCTTTCCCAAGAAATCAGGACTCGTTAATCCCCATTCAATACCATCACTTTTTGTTTACAGGCCTTCTCCTGAGTATTCTTCATGTATCTTTTTATCTGTTTCTGGCTGACTTGCATCGAAAAAAATTTTACCTGGACATTAAGAAAAAAGTCTATGACATTGTCACCATGTATCATCTTTAAATCTTTCCTATCAGCTGTATTGAATGTGACATACTGTTAATAGTAAACAGGTTAGTAGAATAATGAGGAGTTCAAAGTATAGCTGTGCCAGTAGGAAAAGGCTGATGAGTTTTGACTCTGAATGTGGAGCAGCTGTATACAACAGGACTCAGAATAAATAACAACAAAACTGGTCACAACAGAGTAGAACACTCAGCAGAAAATACTCGCTGTTCAACACTCGGCCGAAAATGCCTGACATTTGACGCTCAGACAAAAACATTCGGCCAAAAACACTCAACGTTCGACACTCAGCCAAAAAGGATCAGCCAAAAACGCCTGACGTTCAACACTCGACTGAAAACGCTCGGCCAAAAAAGACAAACGTTTGAATCTTGGCCGAAAACGATCGGCCAAAAATGCCCAACATTCGATGCTCAGCCAAAAATGCTCAGCCACAAACACCCGACGTTGGACACTTGGCCAAAAACATCCGACATTCGACACTCAGCCCAAAACGCTCAGCCAAAAATGACCACTGTTCGACGCTCGGCCAAAAACGCTTGGCTGAAAATGCCCAACGTTTGACATTTTGCCAAAAATGCTCGATCGACTCGCGGTCGACTCGCGGCTGACGTTCGACTCACGGCCAAAAATGCCAGATGTTCGACGCTCGATGTTAGACGCTTGGATGGACACGCCCAATGGTCGACGATCATCTGAAAACCTTGGCCAAAAACACCCGACATTTGACGCTTGGCCGAAAAGGCCTGACGTTCGAAGCTCGGCCCAAAATGCCCAACATTCAATGCTCAGCTGAAAATGATCAGCCAAAAATGCCTGACGTTCTACACTCGGCCAAAAAGGACTGGCCAAAAACACCCAATGTTCAACGCTCAGCAGAAAACACCCGACGTTCGATGCTCGGATGAAAACACTTGGCTGAAAATGCCTGAAGTATTGATGCTCGGCCGAAAACATCTTAAGTATCAACGCTTGGCCGAAAACGCTGGCCCAAAAACACCTGACGCTTGACACTCATCCAAAAATGACAGTTGCTGTGCAGCATTCTCCCCTCTAAACTACTCCAGTACACTAAGCAATCCATGGCTCTTTGCTTGCCTTGCTGCAAGGGAACAAAGACACTAGCCAGCGTGAGCACAAGGACTGTTAGACATACTGCGAGACCTTTGCACAGAAAGGGACAGCACAGACGCTGGTTGCTGTGCCCCAGTCTCCCCTCTAAACTACTCCAGTGCATTAAGCAATCCACGACTCTGGGCGTGCTTTGCCAGAAAACACACACGCTGGCGAGAGCCAACACAAGCGATGTAAAACACACCTTTGCACAGAACGGGCTAGCACAGACCATAGCTGCTGTGCAACATTCTCCCCTCTAAACTACTACTGTGTGCGGAGCCGCGGACGAACGACACGCCGAGACGGGTTCAGTGTGGGTGATAGAGCATCAATCAACGTGTGTCTTTATTGGTCCAGGGCACATATATTTATACAGACAATGATAATTATTATGCCTACTAGTCACTAGCTGATTGGCTTAAGCTCTAAAGGTCGTATTCGCACAGTCCACCTACTTGCAGTTAGCTTACAGCACAAGCTTCTCATAACACTAAGTTTCTCATGCTACTATTTCTGATTCCTGTTGACTTGTTTTCGATACACGACAGTACCGTAACACAATGTTTCTCAGACCACCGTTATCATAACACTGGGTTTCTCAGACCACTATTCCTAATTCCCCTTAATATGTTTTCGACACACCACGGTACACAGGGCTGAAGCGTCCTTGACATTCCTCCTGTATCAGCAGCTGCGAGCAGCTGCAGGCAAACCCTAGTGAGGCTTAGCATCAGCAGCTAGAGCAGGCTCTGATCATACAATTGCTCGGTGGGCTCAGGACCCTTGTCTCTGAGCCATTCTCCAACAACTGTGCACTAAGCAACCCGCGGTTCTGTGCTTGCTTTGCCTGGGAACACACACGCTATCCAGAGCCAGCACGAGCGCTGAATCCCACACAGCAAATACTCTTTGAGGCGTTTTCGGTCGAGCGTCGAACGTCGGGCGTTTTCATCCGAGCGTTTTCGTTAGAGCGCCGAACGTCGGCACCCGCTAGCCGGAGCTGGCAGGGGCTCCGTAAGGCACACCGCGAGATCCTCGCGCAGAAAGGTCCCGCACAGACGCCGGTTGCGGTGCAGCGTTCTCGCCTCCGAACCGCTCCGGCGCGCGGAGCAATCCGCGCCTCGCCACTCCCGCCTGCCGACCGAAACGCGGGACTGCAGCCGCGCGTTCGCGGTGCGGGCGCGTTCGCGGTGCGGGCGCGCTCTGCCGCGATCGCCGCTGCCGTCCGCGGTTAACGGCAACGCGACGCTGCGGTGCCCGCGGTTTTGCTGCTGCCGCCGCCGCCGCCGCCGCGCCCGTCGCCGCCTCCCGGTGAGGAACCGCCGCCCCCCCCACCCCCGCCGCGCCGAACTGCAGAGCCGGTGCCGCCCCTGGGCACGCGCCGCCCGCCGGGCGCTCCCCGCTGCTGCCGCCTCCGCCGCCACCCGGTGGGCGAAGCGCGGTACTGCAGCCCGGCGTCCGCGCGCCGGCTCTGGCCCCTCCGGCGCGCCGTCGGCCGCCGGCGCAGGCGCCGTGCCCGGGAAAGAGAGGAGCGCGGCGGCGGGTGGCGGCTGCCGGTGAGGCGAGCGAGCCCCTTGGGCGGGTGTGGGGGTGTCTCCTGGGGGCGGGGGGGGGACGGGAAGCTGCACCCGCTCTGCTGCGGCAGGCGAGCCTCGCCAGCGCAGCCCCGGGGAGTCCCCTGAGAGCGGGAAGGGGGAAAGGGGGCGGGCGTCCCCAACTCGCCGGAGATCCCCTTGAGCCGCCCCCGCCCCGCTCGCCCCCTGCAGCTGCCCTCAGCTCCAGCCCCTCCCCTGAAGCCTGTCCCGTAGCCCCAGGCCCCCCGCAAACCCTGTCGTGAGGGCAGCGAGCTGGCCCGCGACTGCATTTCCAGCAGCCCCTGCGGAAGGAGGGGCCGTGGCCAGGGGTGGGCTCTGGCGCTGACAATCTCTGTTTCTTCTTTCCCTCTTGCGGAGGCTGCGCTGAGGATGCGGTTGTCCGTTCCTCCCCTGGGGATGCTGCTGGCTGCACCCGCCTCAGGCTTGCGTGGGGCTGTCTCTGCCCGGCCTCGTGCACTTTGCGGCGTGGGGGCAAAAAGGAACAGGCGGAGCGCTGGCTGGCGGTGGGCAGGAGTTGCCGTGGCTGGCGCTGGAGAGGCCAGAGAAAGGCAAAGGGGACTAAACGGGTGGCCGTGCAGCCGGCAGCTGCTTCCCGCTGCAGGATGAGAGAGCCAGCCTCTCCGGGTGAGGAAGGATCCCGCTTTGCAGTCTGCAGCAGCTCAGACCACCAACGTGCACCGCAGGGTCTGTATGTCTCACTGAAAGCGCGGTACAGCCACGCAGTGCACGAGCGAGCGGGGCTATGTGCGTAGGAGGCCTCGTCTCGTAAGAGCTGAGGCACCCCCGTGTTCTCTTAGGTGGAGGACAGCCGAGCGCCTGGAGCTAGAGAAGAGGAAGGGGGGTGGGAAGGAGAAAGAAGCGTCTGAACCGGCAGATTCTCCCGGCAGCTCCAAGAGCGAGAGCTGCTGCGGTGAGTCCCAGGCCCGCGGGGCCCTGTCGCCCCTCTTGCATGTCCCGGGCCCTCCCCTGGCCTCTTCTCTTTCCCATGCTGCTGTGATTTTCTTCGTTTCCCTTTACCTCTCAGTTCTTCTGTCCTGCTCCCTCTTCCTCTCTCTTGTTCTACCACTCTCTTTTCTTTTTCTCTCTGTGCTTTTGTCTTGCTCCCTCTTCTTCCTTTTTTTATCCTCTGTCTCTTGTCCTGCAACCCACTGGTGTTTTTCTGCTCTCCAGGTGTCTGTCCTGCTACCCGTCCTAGGCTTTTCCCCCTTCTTGTCTGTTCTGCTCCCTCTCTCTTATTCTTGCCTGTCTTTCACTTTGTCCTGCTTCCCTGTCCCTTTTTCCTTTCTCCGTATCACCTTGTCTTGCTCTCTTGTCTTGGTTGGACAATCTCTGTCCTTCTCCTTGGCCTTCTTTTTCCCCCTCCGTATCATCCTCTGTCCTTCTTCCTGTCTGTCTTTTTTCTCTTTCTGTCCTTCCCCCCCGGTGCTTCTTTCTCCAGTTCTTGCTCCTGCTCTCTGCTGTCTGTCCTTCCCTTTCTCCCTCCCTCTTTCTTTGACGTTACCCCCACGCTCCTCATTGTCTCTCCACCCCTCTGTCCCGCTTCCTATCTCTCATTTTCCATTTCCCTGTCCTGCTTTTGGTCTCTGTCTTTCCCCTGGCTCTGCGTCCTGTCATTCTTCCCGTTGCTCTGGCTTGCTCTCTATCCCAGTGTTCTTCTCCCCAACCCTCCCTTTTTCTCGGATTTCCATCTTCTTGCTTCCCGTCCCTCACTTCTTTTCTGTACCCCGCTCTCCTTCCCCTGTCCCTCTGCCTCTGGCCTGCTGCTGGTCCCTGGTTTGTCTTTCTCTCTCTGTCTCCCCCTCTCTGTCTGGGCTCTGTCACTCCCTCTCTCCGTCACTCTCTCCTTCATGCAACCCGTATCTTTCTCTCTCTGTCCCTCTGCCCCTAATGCTTCTTTCTCCGTCTCTCACTCCTGCTCTCTGACCCTTTCTAACTCTCACTGTCCATCTGTCCCGCTTCTTCTCTCGGGTTATTCTGCTTTTATCCCTCTGCCTGTCTCACTCTTTCTAGTTATCTCCCCTTGTACAGCCGTCTGTACCTTTTTCTCTGCCCTACTCTGGCCCTACTTTTCCTTCCTCTCTCTCTGCCCAGCAGCCCATCTCTGTATTTTTTTCCCTCCTTCACCTCTTTGTCTTCATTTGCATCTGGTTCACCCCCTTCTGCTGCCCCCAGTCCCTCTGTCACGTTCCTTGTCCTGCTTCTTGTCTTTCCACATCCGGTGCTCTCTCCCCACTTTTCCCTCTCTCTCCCTCCTTCCTTTTCCCTCCTCCTTTCTCTCTGCGTCCCGTTGTCCTGTCGCTCATCTCTCTTTTTTCCTTCCATTCCTCTGTCCTGCTCCCTGTCCCTTCCTTCTCTGTCAATCCCTCTGTCCTGTTGCCTAGCGTGACTTTTGCTGTCTGCACCCCACTGCACTGCTTCTCATTCATCTCTTTCATCTCGGTTTTCCTGTCCTGCTCTGCAGCAGTGTATCTTCATTCTCCAGCTCTCTGACCTGCTCCCTGCCCCCTTCTTTTCCACTCTGCCCTTCTTTCCCCCTCTCTACACCTCTGTCTGAAAGCTCGTGTCCTGCTGCCTGTCCCTCTCTGGCTACAACCCACAGGCCCACTCCCTGTGCCTCTCTTTGCACCGCTGTCGCTGTCCTTGTCCCTCTTTTCTTTCTCCCTCCATCTCTCTGTCCCGCTGGCCATGTCTATCCAGGTCTCTTTCTGGTTTTTCTCCTCTCTTGGTTCCTCTGCTTTTCTTCCTGTCCCTATTTTCTTTCTCTCCTCATCCCTCTGCCCTTCTTTGTGTTTCCACCCCCTCGCTCCCGCAGTGCCCTGCTGTGGGTTACCCATCCTTCTCCCTGTTGTTTTTTTTCCCCCCTCGCTCTATTCCTCTTTCCTGCTCCCTAGATACTTTTTTTTTTTTTTTTTAATTCTCTGTGTTTCTGTTATTCCGCCCATTGCTATTTTTTAATTCTCCACCTCTCCTGGTCCCCATCCTCCCCTTTCCCGCTCTCTCATTCTTTTCTCTTCCCTGTACCTCTGCTTTTCTCTCTCCTTGCATCCTACTTCCTCCCTCCCTCCCTCTTTCCCTCCCTCCCTCTCTCTCATGCTGTCCTCCTCACCATCCCTCTCTTGCAGGACACTAGAAGAGAGGAGAAAAGTGGCAGTGCCGCTTTTTCTTTCTACCTTTCTGATGTGTGTGTCCCCCAGTCCCTGCCTTTTCCAAGTGCCGGTCTTTCTCTCTAGATACTTCTGTCATTCTCCTCCTCTGGCTGCTCTTGCTCTTTTTCTCTCTCTCCGGCTATTCTGTTGCCCATTTCTACTTTTTCCCTTTCCATCCCTTTGTCCTGCTTTCTTGTCCTTGTTAGTCTTTCCCTTTGTTCCTCCTCCTGTCTGTCTCTGCTCTCACTGGCTCTCTCACCCAGCATCCTGCTCCCTGTCCCACTCTGTTTTGCACGAGCGTGCTTTCTGGCTCCCTGTCCCTCACCTGGTTTTTATACCCCTCTGTCCTTCCCCTGTCTTTCCTCATCCCTCTGGCCTGCTGCCCATTGCTGTCTTTTTTTTTTTTTTTCCTCTCTATCTCTTTGCCTTGGTATGGTGATACTCGTCTTCTCGCTGTCTCTAGTGTTCCGTTGTCCATCTTTGCCCTGCTCCCTGTCCTTTCTCTCTTCTCTCCTCTGTCATCCCCTTAACTTTTTGTCTGTATATGCTGTGCTGCTGCCTGTCCCATTGTTTCTTGCCCCATCCCTCTGTCCAGCTGTTCTGCTCTCCACTCGTCATTTCCTCTCTCTTTCCCTCTGTCCTACTCCTGCACTTAGCACGCGAGTGAGCGGGGCTGCGTGTTTAGGAAGCTTTGTCTCGTAAGAGCTGTAAGACGCACAGGTATCCTTGTAGGTGGGGGACAGCCAAGTGTCTGGAATTACGGAAGGGGAAGGAAGAACGAGGAAGAAGCATCCCAACTGTCTTGTTCTCTGGGCAGCGCCGAGAGTGAGAGCTGCAGTGAGTCCTGGGCCCTTGGGGCCTTATTCCTCCCCTTGTGTGTCCCGGTCCCTCCCTGCCCCTCCCCTGGTCCTCTCGCTTTCCCACACAGCTGCTATTTTTTTTTCTTTCTGCCTCCACTTCACTCCGAGTGGCCCCCTGCCCCCATCTTTTAGGTCCTCCCTCTCTCTGCCCTGTAGTCTGTGGCTATTTTTCCCTTCTCCGTATTTCTCTGTCCGGCTCCTGGCCACTATTTTTGCATTCCTCCCTCTCTGTCCTGTAGCCCATCAGTATTTTTGCTCTCTGGAATTCTCTGTCCTGTTTGCTATCCCTGGTGTTCATTCTTCCCTCTCAGCTCTGGAGCATGTCACAAGTCTATTTCTCTCTCCCGCCTCTCTTTACCCTGCTTCCTGCCCGTCATTTCGAGGTCTTTCCTCTCTGTCCTGTCACCCATTGCCTTTTGCCATTTTTTTTTTTTTTTTCCTTTCTCCATCTCACTCTGTCTTGCTCCCTGTCCCCGTTTTTCTAAGTCTTCCCTCTCCCCCCACTACCCTGTCACTATAATTTTCTTTCCCCGTTGTTGTGGTTTGAGCCCAGAGGGTGACAGACTGCCACGCAGCTGCTCGCTCGCCCCTTCCCCCTCAGGAATGGAAAGGAGAAAATAAAGCAAAAGGCTCGGAGATCAAGGTAAGGACAGGGAGGAATGACTCATCGGCTATGGTCATGGGCAAAAGACAGACTTGTTAGGGGAAGGAAAGGAACATCGATTTAATTCAAATGACAGCAACATGTAGCAAATGGAGTAGGACGATGAGAAGTATAACCACATCTTAAAAACACCTTCCCCCCCACCCCTCCCTTCCTTCCAGGCTCAGCTTTGCTCCCGATTTCTCTACCTCCTGCCCCGCAGCAGGGCGGGGAACGGCTGTTGCGGTCAGTTGGCCACACGTTGTTTCTACTGCTCCTTCCTCCTCAGGGGGAGGACTCCTCGTGCTGTTCCCCTGCTCCAGCATGGCGTCCCTCTCCCAGGAGATGGTCCTCCCTGAACTTTCTCTCACACGAGTCCTTCCTGCGGGCTGTGGCTCTTCCTGAACTGCTCCTGCGTGGGTCCCTCCTGCGCATCGCAGTCCTCTCGGCGACAAAGTACAACGGCGGTGGGGGCTTCCCTCAGACTCCCAGCATTCTTCTTCAGGAGCAGCCACCTGCTCCGGCCAGCGGGTTTCCTCCACGGGCTGCAGGTGGGCATCTGCTCCGCCAGCGACTTCCATGGGCTGCAGGGGGACAGCAGCTCCACCGCACCCATCCCCACCCTCCTCCTCCTCCTCCTCCTCCTCCTCCTCCCCCCTTCTTCCACTGACCTTGTTTTTGCACAGCGGTCTCCCTCACAACTCCCACTCATCCTCCCAGGTTCCCCTTCTTCAATGTTAGCTCGGAGGCATGGCCACTGTGGCTACTTGGCGTGGACTTGACCAGAGGTGGGTCCCACTTGGAGCCGGCAGAGCTTGGTGGAGGTCCTCACGAGGGCCAGTGCTGTAGCCCCTTCCCCCGCTGCCAAAACCCCCGGCTGCACACACAAGCAAACCCAACACACCCATCTCGGTTTGTCTGGCTCCCAGTCTCTCCTTCATTCTTCCCTCTCTGTTGTGTCACCCGTCACTTCTTTCCTCCCTCCCTCCGTCTATCTCACTGTCCCCATTTTTAAACTCTCCTTCTCTGCCTGGTAGCTAGATGCAGCTTTTTTCTTTGTCTGTCTCTCTGTCCAACTCCCTGCCTCCAATTTTTAATTCTACCCTCTCTCTCTCTGAAAGCCTGTCAGGACTTTTTCCTCTTCTCAGTCTTTCTGCCCGTTTTTTAATTCCTCCCTCTCTGCCCTGTTACCTGGCAGCATTTTTATTGACTCCATGTCTCTCAGTCTGGCTCGAGATCCTGATTTTTGACATTCTTCCCTCTCTGCCCCGTAGCCTGGTGCAGTTTTGAGGTTTTTTTCCCCCATTCCCCATTGCTCTTTGTCCGGCTCCCTGTCCCCGCTTTTTGATTCTTCCCTCTCTGCCCCACGGCCTGTTGCTGTCTGCCCTTTCTCAGTCTCTTTCTGTCCAGCTCCCGGTCCCGTCCTTTTTGAAGTTCCTCCCTCTGTCTCGGAGCCCATCGTGGTTTTTCCCTTCTGCATTGCTGGCTCTCTGGCTGGCTCCCGCTCCCTGTTTCTGTTTCCTCCTTGTGGGCTCTTTAGCCTGTGGCGATTTTACTTCCTGCTCTCTGTCTGACTCTGGATCCCAATTTTTTAATTCCTCCTTCTCTTTACAGTAGCCTGTCTTTCTGGGCTTTATCCCCTCTTTATCTATCTCCCTCCCACTGTCTGGCTCCCAGTCCTGATGTTTTAATGCTTCCCTCTCTGCCTTCTAGCTGTTACTGTACTTCCTGTAAGTGTTGCTCTGTGTCTGGCTCCTCGTCCCTCTCTTTTCATTCTTCTTCCTCGGAGCCCATCAGTACACCTGTCTTTTACTGTCTCTCTCTAACCAGCTCCGGATCCCTGTTTCTTCCTTCTTCCCTCTACCTGCCCGGTAGCCACTATTTTTATTTTCTCCATCTCTTGCTGCCCAGCGCCAGATCCCTGCTTTTTCATTCCTCAGCCTCTGTCCCATAGCCCTGTGGTTTCTCGTCTTTCTCTGGCTCTCTTTGTCTGGCTCCCTGTCCCTGTTGTTCCGTTTCTTCCTTCTTGGCCCCGTAGCACGTTGTGATTCTGTTTGTCTCTGCTTCTCCTTTCCCAGCACCCCGTCCCTCCCTTTTCATTGCTCCCTCTCTGCCCTGTTGCCTTTGCGATCTTTTGCCTTTCACTGTCTCTGCGTGGCCAGCTCTGTGTCCCTATATATTAATTCCTCCCTTCTCTGTCCCTATTAATTCCTCCCTCTCCACGCTGTAGCCTCTCGCTTTTTTCAATTTTTGATTTCAGTGTCCCTGGCTCCTCAGCAACCCTATTTTAGAATTCCCCCCCCCTCTTCTTTGTGTACACATCGATATTCTTTCTCCTCTCCGTCTTTTTTTTTTTTCTGTTTCCCTGTCCCTGTTTCTTAATTCTTCCATCTCTGCCCTGCAGCATGTGGGCAGGTGGTTTGTTTTGTATTGTTCCAGCTCCTTGTCCCTTCCCTCCATTGTTTGCTGTCCTGGCTCCCTGTCCCTGTTGCTTTTTCCTCCCTTTGTCGCTTTATTGTCTTTCCCTGTCTCTCTCTCGGTCTGGCTCCCCGCCCCCATTCATTTTTTGTCCCTCTCTGTCGTGCTGCCCACGCCAGGTTTTCTCCGCATCCCCGTCCCGCTCCCCGCCCTTTGTTGTTCTGCCCCGCTCCTTGCCCCTCTTTCTGCTCCCTCTCTTCCTGCTGCTTCTTTCTCCGGAGCCACGTCGGGCTCCCTGTCCCCGTCCTCTCGCCGTCCCGTTCCCTGCCTCATGCTCCCTCGCTACACCCGCCCCGTCGCGCCCTGCTGCCACTTGTCTCCTTTTTTCGAGTGTCCCGGCCCCTGCTCCTCTTGGCCAGCCTCCCCCTCCGCCCAGCAGCCCATTGCTGCGGGAGCTGACCGACCGCTCCTGGCCGGAGCGCTGAGCACGGCTGCGGGAACGACTGCTGCGGCGTCCCAGGGGCGGTGGGAGCCGGGGCAGCCTCGCTGCTGGGCCTTGTTCTGGGTGGGACTGGATCAATTCTTGCCGCCTCCCGCCTGCGTTGTGTCCTTCCACAGCAGCGGGCGAGGGGCTGTGAGGGAGCCCGGGGGGGGGGCAGGAGGGGACGCGGGGGGGGGTAGGAGGGGACCCAGGGCCGGGGTCGGGCCCTGCGGGGGCGCCACCTGCTAGCTGGGAGCCGGTACTGCGGCCGGGGAGCCGCGCATGCGCGGTGGGGGCGCCCTGTGCCGCGCTCGCCACTGCCGCCTGGCGAACGAAGTGCGGTACTGCAGCCCCGGAGCCGCGCATGCGCAGTGGGGGGGGGAGCTCTGCAGCGAGCGTTGTTGCCTCCGAGTTTAACGGCAACGTTCCGGAGCTGCGGCTGCAGCGGGGGCGAAGGTGGGCGGGAGCGCGCGAGCTACCGGAGCGGAGCGGCGGCCCCCGGGGAGAGCCCCGTGGAGGGGGGCGGGGCGGGGGAGCGCCGCTCCGGGTCGCAGCCGGGGACGCTGCGGGGCGGGCTGGCCGGAGCCCCGCTGTGGAGGGCGGGGGGCTGCGCAGGGCGAGCTGCCTCCCGCGGCATGCCGGGAGCTGTAGTCTTGCGGCACTGGGCAGTGGATGGTTATGATGTGCTTACCCCGGAGCATGCCGGGAGCTGTAGTCTTCCGACGGTGGGTGGCCATGCTGGGCTTGCCCCAGGGCTTGCCGGGAGCTGTAGTTTTTACGGACCCGGCTGCCCAACAGCTGCGGTGCTCTCTGTGGGGCACAGCCCCCCCAGCGCCCACTTAAGTGGGCCGAGAGGAGGGGACGAGGTTGGGAACTGCAGGGAAGTGGGTGCTCAGGGATTAGGGGCAGCAAGACCTATCAGCCTCAACCTGACTGAGGTCACTTTAGCGCCATTGACCCCCCCCTCAAAACATGATGTGACCCTGCTTGGGGATCACAACCTCTGGCCCTGCCTCCAAACAACCAGAGAGTTACATGACATTCCCTCTGGAAGGGTGGTTATGGGGGACTTTGGAGGATTTTTTTTTTTATTTTTTTTTTTTCCTTCCTTATCTTACAGAAATAGAAGGGTGTCTGTTGCTCCAGGGGAATCGCCACTCACTGCATTAGCCTCTCTCCTCACTACCATTAGCACTATGGTTATGGTTGTTACTCGTTATTGTTTGTTCTTTCTTCTGAAAAAGCTCCCCCCTCAAAAAAACAAACAAACAAACAAAAAAAATGGGAAAAAAAAAAGAGGAGAGAGAGCAGACATCACCCTGGACTTCTGGGCCGGAGGGGAGGGAAGCATGGTCCCTGTGGACAGGGAACCATGTCCTGGGTACCAGGCCACCAGGCTGGGGACAAAATGAGCTGAATCTGGCCCGGGCTGCTGATGGCAATGGGTTCGGCAGTCCCCAGACAGCCTCCTCCACCTCCATGCACTTGTCAGTGAGGATGAAGCCCACCCCTGTCACAGCACCTGTGCATGGGGAGCCTGAGGGGTAAAGCCCTGAGGTTCTACTGCACATCTGCAGGACCCAGGCATCTACAAAGTCCCCCTCACCAACCCTCCTGGGGGACCCCCCCAGGATCTGAGGAATCCTCCCTCAGACACCCCACTGCCCACCCACAGGATCCAGGAAACCTTTCCCTTCTCCACAGACCCTACTGGGGACCCAGGCATCTGGGCTGCCTCCGTCTCCCACAGGGACTCATCATCATTAATGAGGAGAGACACCGTGACAAGTCTGCATCAGCTCTACCGTGTTTTAACAGCAGGAGGGGGAAAAATTGCACCAGCACAAAGAGATCTAGCTGGGAACACAACATACTCCTCCTCACTCCTTCCATCCCATGTGCCTTTTCCTGTGTGCCTGGACACTTTCATCGACACACGTCAGACCACGATCACAAACTTGTCTCTTCTTACAAACATTGCTTCTCTTTTTTTTTTTCTTTTTACGATTACAGCTCCAGCTCAGAGAATCCTGTATTTTATCCCTTCTCAAAAACATCAAGTCTAGAGTGACCCGTGAAAATTCCCTTACCCCTTTCCCAAGAAGGAAAGGAAAAGGGTCACTTACCGCTGCTAATAAATGACACCTGCCTCCCACAGCCCCTTTCAGGCCTACAGACCTCTGCTTGTCCCCAGCAGACCCCCAGGTACGAGGACACCTCCCTACCCTCGGGCTGCGACCCACCCCCGGCACAGCTAAGCCACATCACCTCTCCCACCACAGAAACTCGGCACAGCTGCGGTACGATACACCCCGACCAGCGGCACCGCCGGGACCAGCTCCGCCCCGTGTGTCGCAGGGCGGCGTTTCTTCTGCTGCTTCAGCGCTTTCCCCCACCCAAACCAACGCCCACCCGAGGGGCAGCGACCGGGCTGCCGCGCCGACGAGAACCGTGACGGGGCTGTGCGGCGGCTCCGACCGGCGGGCCGCGGGAGCGGCTCCCGGCATGCCGCGCGGAGGGGCGGGGCTTTCCCGGCATGCCGCGCGGAGGGGCGGGGCTTTCCCGGCATGCCGCGCGGAGGGGCGGGGCTTTCCCGGCCCGCCGCGAGCGCGTGCTTCGGGCTGACGCCGAGCCGTCGCCATGGAAACCCCGGCTCCCGGGGACGAGCGCGGGGGATCCCGTTCACCGTCTGGAGGACGGGCCCGCAGGCCGCGGAGGAGGAGCGGGAGCAAGAACCGCAACCCGGAGCGCTCCCCGCCGGCCTGAGGCGCAGCCCCGTGGGGCAGGATGGTGCTCGGGGCACCGAGGAAACCCCTGGGGTCGGGAAAGCGCCAGGGCCTGCAGAGACCCTGCCGCACCTGGGATGCCCCAGAAAGCCCCCGAGACTGTGGCTGGACACCTCCAGGCCCTGCAAGATGTCCAGTCGGTCTGAGAACGGGCCCACGGATCAGGAAAGAGGCTCTTGAGCATGACTTTGAGGTTCTGGAAAGGCCCAGAGAATCTGCAGCA